TTGTGTAATAGTTAATAGTTTTAAATTTAAATTGAGCCCAAAGCTTTTGTTGTAATGATTTCCATTTTTGTTTTTAATTTGACTTGAGGAATTTTAAAATTTTTTTCATTTTTGCAACCATATCATCTCTAAGCGATAAACACAAGTTAAATTAGTTTGAAATTTAAAAAATTTTTTTTGGGTAAATATGTTGTAGAATATAAATATGTAAATGCATACATAAATATAAAATGAGTTTGAAATTCAAAATAACTCTCCAATATGTACATATCTAAGTTTTTGAAGAAATTTTTTTGTTTTTACTTGAAATAAATTTTGCTCCTGAACATAAAAAATTTTACTGAAAAATATTAGGCGTTTTCATAAACGCAGTACTATACTGACATATAGTGAGAACTGCGCAATATGTTTATGTTCATAAACAAAATATTGCTAGCCTATTGTTTATTCGTAAACATAGCAAACTTAATTTACTTCACAATATAGCAATATTAGATATGTTTAGCGCAATTGAGTCATAAGTCATATAAACTATACTTAATGATTTTATGAAATTGTTAAAAATATATTGCATATTTGTACATTTTGCAAAGTAATGGATTTCGCAGTATTTTATTTATGAAAATCTCTATTATCTCACTGAAGGGCCCAAGTACACATGCAAATTTTTACTTTTGCAGTTATTGTTTGATTGTAAAATCGTTTCATACAGATCTAAGCAATTAAACTATTTCGTCAATTCAACTCGATTAAATAAAAAACGCAATCGGTTTGTAAAACATTACATGCATTATATTGCATGCGATCATACAGTTGGCATATGCGAGCGCTTGGATATAAAACCGATGAAATACATACAAATAGGTAATCAAACAGTTGCAAAACTTACATGTCTACGTGAGTCTTGATTATTTTTAAAAAATTTACTGCATCCGATATCTTGGAATCAACCATAAGAATTTTTTAACCAATTCAATAATTTATTTGTTTTTATATTGCAAAGTTATTCTTTTATTAGAATTCCTTATTAATCACGATTTATGAAGAACCTAATAATAAATTTCATATATCTTATATAAGAAACAAATCTAGATTATAAAGATGAAATATTTTTAAAAAATTAAACGTATGAAAAGGAATTATTATATATGAAAACCAATACGCCTTTTTTTTTTAAAAAAAAAAACATATTTTAAGATCTCAAATCACAAGTAATTTTCTTCACTTTTAATTGCCTTATTTCAGATTTTTATGATTTTCCGCCACGTATACACAATATCGGATAAAAATAAATTACTTTATAAATTTTTTTTTCTTGTCCTTATATTATTATAAGAAATTTACACACCCCCAAGAGAATACTACTTTAAAGAGAACATGATATAAAAATGATTTAGAGAATATTTAATTAATTTATATCCGAACCTATTCAAATGTCAAATCGTATATTGAGAAAAAACAACGGCATAACTCAGAAATCAATTATTAAACTTAATCTTATTAAAATGGTATTAGAGGTTATTAAATCTACTAACATTTGAGGAATATGAAATGTCAATCTTTGACTTATGTAATATGCAAATTTACAATTAAACAATCAAAAATTATTTTTATAGTTTAGAAATTTTTTAAATATAGAAAAATCTTTAATAAGGGATGCAATATTTGGATGCTTTTTCTCAGGTACGAGTATACTTCCATAAAGACCTATAAATATATACGTGTGTAATAATTAAGGATAATTCCTTCATTTAGCTTTTATTTTTAACTCTTTTGACTTTTTTTTTATTGTTTCTTAGATCATGGCTACAATACCTACCTAACCCTATGTACTTTATGTACAGCCATGTAGAATAAACGCATTCATTACCTTTGTTTAAATTTTTTTTTTATATCTCGTAAATTATGTAAGTATATATACACATATTGTGTTCACATGTACAGATCAATTATATCACGTACAAAGCGCAAAAAAACTCCAAACAAGGCATAAAACATTATCAATTACTATATCAGAGGACAACATAAAAGAAAATATTTTCTACTTAAAAAAAAAATGAATGCATACCGCTTAACTAGAATCTCCCAATAAATGTAATAATAATTTACAGAACATAATAACCTTAATAATATGAGTTGCTTATTAAAATATATATATAAATATAAATATAGTATATACTATGTACATGATAAAATTCTATGTTATTTTAGTTTTGCTTTTTATTTTTAGATTTATTTTGATATTATTGTTGTAATTTTAAAAGTTAATGTTATCGTATAACACCTATATGATGCTATAATGTATATATATATATATTTCAAAAATTCTGTACAATCAAAGTCCATAATATCCAAAGTATTATGCTCCAACAACTTGTTCCGCCAAAAGGAATTGTTAACATTATTTATATATAGCTAATCGTATATGTTTGTATATAAATTTTTATTTAATTTAATTTTACATTGGTTTTTATAACTCTAGTTATAAGTATTGTATCCATATGTACATACTCTTAAATTATACTACTTGTATACTATATTTTGTAAATTCTTTTACAAGCTGATTTTTAAATTTTAGAACCAATCAGCTGTATTAAATTTAAAGTTAGATGCATTAAAAGCATTCATTCTTTATTATATATATGTTATTCAAATTAATCCCAGATGTAAAACATACAGAGAGAAAAAAAAAACAATATGTAAAACAAAATTCAAAATAAAATGACTAAAATATGTAGTTTATAATACACAAAGAACGGAAAACAACAAAAAAAAAATTTAAAACTAAAAAAAAAATAAATAAATTTTCTGATGAAAAAAATTTTTAGGAATCAAGAAAAAACAAAAAAAGAAGCAACATGGAATTTAATTCTTATGATCACTGATTACAGATGATTGTAAAGAGAAAAATTCTTTGTCTATTTTATATATAAAATATATGTAGTTAAACTCTTTAAATGCCGAGATTAAATGCAGAGTCCTATAAGGTACCCACAATACAGCATTGTCTTTTGTTTTATTTAAATAGATTCTATATATGGTTAGTGATCTGGTAGAAGTGTCATATGAGAATACAAAAAAAAACATATTTTAAATACATTATATAAATAAAATCCCTTTATTAAAATTTTTTTCTCAAAAATTCTAAGAAAATTTCATGCGTAATTCGATATTTTTTCATATTAAAGATTATTTGCCAAATAGGAGTTAAAAATGCAATTCTCAATTTTAATTCTCGAAAATTAATATTACATTTTATTTGAATTAAATAAATACTTTCAGGCATTATAAACGATTTAATTAAAATGGAAAATATTTAAAAAAAAAATTATAGTAAAAATTTTAGTGAAACTAATAAGTAAATTGCCTACTAAAATATTATATTGTATATGTATGTTACTCTGCTGTGTTAATTGTATAGAAGGATTTTAATTTTTTCTGCGTAGTTATTTTTGTTTTTATGTTCTTTAGGTGTAAATATAAAAGTTAATCACCTTAAAATACAAATTATAAAAAGTTGCAGTTCTTATTAAAACTGCTGAAAAGCCATTAATGAATTTAATTCATGTAGATATGTATATGCTGTTTATCCTGTGAAAAAATACATTTAAGTATCTACAACTAAAGTAATATTTAATTTTTAAATAGTTAAATTCATTAACTGATCAAAGATTTCAATGATTTTCAAGATTAATTAATTCGAAATGGTAATCAATTAATCTAAATACAAATTATTCTTATTTAATACAATTATATAATTATTTGCTCGTGTATTTCAATAAACCTTAAATATTTCGATTAATTTAGTTAGAATAAAATTAAAAAATACAAAATTTTTGTTGTACAAGTGGCACGGGTAGCCTTGTTACTAATTTTTATAAGGTTACTAATAATTTTGTGGTAAAAAAAAAACTTTAATTTAATTTTCATTTAAAACAAAAAATTCTTTTGGAAATTTTTTCTTTGTTTTGCGTTTTTGGTTTCACCAGTTGAATAAGTTTTTTTTTTTATTTTAATTTTATATTTTACTTATAAATAAAAAAAAAAGTTTAATTTAATTTTGTATTTTATTCTTTTTTTTTTTCATAAAATGTAATTGTTATACTATTTGTTAACTAGGCTATGGCAATTAACTGTCGAATAATTTTGTTATAATTACAATTTTTTATTTATGTGTGTTAAATGGAAACGGTAACAAGCAAATTAAAAAAAAAATGTTCAATTAAAATAAAAAATTATTGTTTTTTTTTTTTGTTTGTTTTCTATATAGAACAAAATAAAAAATAAAATAGTTGAAAATTAAATATTACAAATTTGTTTAAGTTTTTTTATTTAGTTATAGTAATTTTTTTTTCAACAGGTGTAATTTTTGTTTTTGTTTTATTATATTTGTTTTGTGATTATTTAAAATCAAATCGAGATAAAACGTAGAAATACCCTATAATATTATGGATAGTATAAAGGAATATAATGCATGGGATTTAAAATATGTTTAAGAACAAATTCGAGGCGAACATCCTTAATTATCTAAAATTTTATAGAACTAAAAACCAATTTCTTTGATATAAAATATGCTATGCCTACTAGTACAAAATTACATTTTATAAATAATTTCAAATTAATAACTATTATTATAAAATTATTATAATTATTATGATTAATTTTAAGGTTAAGTTGTAATGCTAAGAAAAAGAATGTTTTAAACCTAACATGCTAACATAAAATTTTATCATATTAACAAAAATAACCTTAAGAATTTTACCTATTATTTTGCTATAATTAAAATTACATAATATAAAATATTTCCTGATTAATTGATTTATTTTATTAAGACCTAATCTAAAGAACAATATAGACTTTAATAAAATAACTTTAAATAAAATTAAAAGAGAGCATAATTTGTGCGTAAATTTGTGCGTAAATTAATTATGTTCAAAATAAAATTTACAATTATTTCTAAATTAAACATTTAAAATTCTTAATAAATTAATTAATTTTTTTACTATGCAAGGAAATTTTCATTGTAATGAAAATAAATATTTTTTACTTTTACTTTCAAAAATTTTATTGGATTAAATATAAAAAAAAAATAATAATAAATGTTAAATATAAAAAGTAAGAGTTTTATGCTTACAACAACTATTTTTATAAATACGGTACATACAACAAAATTATATTTTTTTATATACTAATTTTTATGATATAATGAAGCTGCCACCAATGTATTGCAGAAATTATCAAAAAGTAAAAACTAATTTCACATTTAAAGCACCATTATACGGAGTATACTGTCACGTTTTCTACCAACTCTTCTAGTTTTAATATATGTATATCCTGCATGTTTTTAAAAAGCTTATAGAGTGAATTTCATCCATCGAACATTATTCGAACTTCTTTAATTTTTATAATATTTTGTTTAAACAAATGTTGTATTCTCAGAAAAAGCACCACATAGACGCATATTTTTGTCAAGAATTGCTCTTAAAAATTGTGGTCCACAAACACCTCTTGTTGTTGTTTTACTATTAACACGTAAAATATATTCTTTACAAACTGGTTCTGGTAAAAACTAGAATATAAAATAGAAAAAATATATATATTTTTTTTTAAATAATTTTGTAATTTTCTATAAAAAGAAAAATATATTTTGATAATTTCTCGAATAAATTGAAAAATATATAGTAATTACCAATTGTGTTGGAGCATCTTTATCAGTATTAAATTCATTTTTTAATTCCCTTGATTCACTAAATAAACTTAAAACTTCTACTGATGTTAAATTTTTTGCTCCACCATTTAATTCAGCATCATATCCTTTTAAAAGTTCTTTTAGGATTTCTTTCTGATTATCATTTAAATTTTCTGTATTATTAAATAATTTATATATAATACTTCTGGAATGTAAAATTGAACGTTCTAAAATCATCATTTCATTCAAAAGTAATTCCCATTTTTTTGGAGATGGAATCGTTAAAGGTAAAGCAGAATCTTCATTTAATAAATTCCATGGTTCACGAGAAATTTTACAAAGATTTTCATTAAATTTATCCTGAATATCTTTAAAAAATTCACTAAATTGTGAATTAGATAGTTCATCCTATATTTAATAAAAAAAAAAATAAAAGTTTAAAGAAATGATTTTATAATTATAATTTTATAAAAGTATACACCTGTAATTTAATAATAGCTGAATGAAATAGTGTAGATATTGTTAATTCACAAATTTGTCCAATTGTTCTTGTTTCCAAAAAATGTAATACTTTTTCTGCTTCTTTGGTATCATCAAAAAGACGTTTCTTTTATTATAATGAAAAAAAATATTAAAAATTTTAAATATAATTTCAATTAATTTTTCTTTTTATATCGTACTTGTCTTCTAGCAGGAACCGGTTTTGCTTGTTTCCAAACTGTTTGCCATGTATTACCAGGTATTTGCATTCTTTGACTTAATTGACCAATTGTTTCACCATTCTCTGTAATATTAAAAATTAAACATATTATTGTTAATTTTTTTGAATTCAATTAAACTTTGCTTATACTTTACCATTTGTTTCAACTATCCAATCTCTAGGACTATACCATCGTATAAAATCTTCTAATTTTCCACTTGGATTTGCTGCTTTAAAACTTTCCATATCAGAAAGTAATGATGCAGTCATCATTTGAGCACATAATTCTGATCCTGGTCCTAATTTTAACATTACTTCAGCATCATCATGTAATTGATCTTCAGTTTTTGGTACAGGATCTTGTGTTATTGGAATATATAATGCTTCATCGCTATCAATTAATGTTAAATCATTAAGTTTTTCAAGTCTTCCCTCCGGTTTATTATATAATTCATGACGTTCTGAATCTTTATTATCATTATCATCATCACAATCATAAAATTCTTCATCCGAATCTTCATCTTTTTTCATTGAATTTTTTCGTATACCTTTTTTTTCGATCATTGAAAATGGTAAATTACCTTCACGTACACGACGACGTTCCATACAAATATTTAACATTTGTAATTTTTGATGTAATAAACATGTTCGTGAATCTGGAAATCCTGGGGCAACACTAAATGAAAAAAAAAAAAAATGAAAAATGAAAAAATTTTGAATTAAAAAGAAATAATAAAGATTTTTTTTTGTTGTTGTTGTTTTTGTTATTCTCTTATATAATTAAATAAAATTATATTTAATGATGTAGAAATTTCCAACATCCTGACAATTAAATTCTGGTTTTTGTTTTTTTTTTTTACATATTGCATCCAAACATAACAGTTATACAATCAAACTATCAAAGTAAACACACACACTTGCAAACATATTTTGTGTATGAATTGATTCTATTGTAAATCTTAGAGATTTATTTTTTTTTTTTTTTGGTTTGAATCAATAGAGCATAAAGGAAGAGATAAATTTTATGAGGTTTTCTATTTTAATTTTAGTATTTACATTGTACTCTCCTATTCTATCTAACTTATTAACAATATCATTGTCTTATCCTTGTCAATAAAAATTTTGTCCTCTATATTTTGAAAAATGAAATTATTTTTACTCGAAATATGATCTGTTTGTTCTCATTTTTTTTTTTTACAATAATATTCATTTTGTTTTTCTTTCTCTATTTATTTTTATACTACTAAAAAAAATTTTTTTTAATTCCCTCTTTGTATTTTATTCAAATAGAAACATATTTAATGATGTGGGAACGATATGGAACCTGATAATTGAGATATAGGAACTGTTTATAATCTCATTTTTATTACAAAAAATTAGGAAAGTTATTATGCTTGGTAACTGATCCTTGTATATATTAAATTTAAAAGAACGTTCAAAGAAGTCGCAAGTTTTTAAAAACAAGCTGAAAATCATTTAATATAAGACTATTATGAATATGTCGGCAATTATTGAATTATTTATAAAAACGTTTATTAAAGAATTAAAAAATTCATTAATGAAAATAATAATTTATGTAAGAAGAATTATGCTTATGTCCAATTATTAATATTGCCCAAAAGAAACAAAACAATTATGATTTAGGCGCACAAAATGCGGTTACCAGATTTACCAGCAAAATCATCATCATTTAATGAAGATAAGGACTAGAAACTTGAAGTACAAATTACACTTTAAAAATTTAATAAACCTTGACTCTCGAAATTCGTAGCAATTTACACTTATAAGTTGAATTTTTGTGTTATTACCGTGCTAAAGCATTTTAGAAGTCAAGTAAATAATAAGACCATTAAAAGTCTTAATGAATTTCAATAATATTAATAGTTAATTTTCATATACATACTTATATGTAATTCCTAATATTGTTCTTATCATATACATATATAATAGGTTTTGTTAAGCAGTTACAAGTCCTTTTATATATAATATTTAAATAACTTTTTATACATGTTAAAGTAGCTATTATAGGGCTCAAAATTACTTATTGATTATATTGACTTTCTTTTACATATTATTATTAAAAATTAATTTTCTTTTTGTTCCAATATGGTTTTGTTGTATAAGTCACGTTACCATATATTCTTGTGATTTAATAGTCATTTTCAATTTCTTTCACATATAAACTATATTTGAGCTCGAAATAATATGTGTATATTTCAAATATATCTTATATAATATATAATTCAAAAAAGTGACAATGCATCCTTAAGTGAAACATAAGGAAAAAGAGAAACTTTTTATTCAACGATATACCGAGAGCATTTTAAAACAAAACCGAGAAAAATTCACAATGAAAATTTCTTATGTGAACCATTTTCTTTATTAATAGACAAAACACTTGACCTCCTTCTCCTTCCTTTCTATATTTAATATAATAAAAAATAAATTAAAAATGATGAATTAAAATATTAGGAATTTCAAAATATAATATTGGTAAATTCCAAATTTACAACTACAAATTTATTTTTTCATTGGAGTTTTAAATATTTTAGTTGGATTGTTCATTCTTCCTCTTAGTACAATAAATTAATAGTGATCACTTCCAGGCTACTAAAATTCAAACGAGTGGCCTTACAATACTAAGAATTTAGACTGTGCCATGAAGAGAATTTAGACAACCAATTGAATCGATTATCTCTTACTTTAATCGCTATGTAATCTACCTTAATCGCTACATATTCTACCTTAATCGCTATAATATTTTAATGTTAAATGTTACAAACTTTAAGTGAAAATTTCATTTCACTCATTTTAATAGAAATCAATTTAAACTGGCAATTTCTTATAGGTTCATAATAAGAAAAGGAAAATTTCATAGTACACTCGTACTTAGGACTTCGATATTTTTCTTAATATGTTCTTTTACATTTTCATTCTCTATTGTTTTTTCTTGATTTTTTAATATTTTTTCTTTTTATATTTTTTTTGTAGTTACACTTGAGACATTAAAGAAAAATTCTTTGTATTTTGTTTGTATAACAATGCAAAAAAGGAACAAAAGGACTTTTAAATGAGCAAGTGAGCCAATTACAAAATAGAATAAGTAAAAATGATTGCCTATAATGAAAAATGTAAAAAAAAAAATTGATCTTTTAAAGCAGATTTTACAATATTGTTCCTATTTTGGATTCACAATTTAAAACGACAGAAAATGACGACCATAATGCTTTCTTAAATGCATTTTTATTCAGTTTCGTTTTTTATGGAAGAAGTAAGCTTCCGGAAATCTTCTTCCTTGTGGCAAAAAAATCCTTTTATTTAGAGAATATATCTTGAGAATTTACTTTAATTAATTCTTAACCAATATACAATATTCGAATTATACTTGAACTTGACTCTCAAATCGTTAATAAATTTTATAAACCCCTAAAAATTCTTTTATCATTAAATTTTATGGAATTTAAATTCATAAAAGTGATAATAAAAACCTTACCTAATTTATATTTATTAGGAATTATTTTTAAATTGAAAAAAATTATTTTTATTAAATTTTTCATTATTTTTCACACATGGTTAAAATTTTATTAAAACATTTTAAATATACGTGATAAAATTTATAATGTAATTTCCTGTTAATCTTCTTCTAAGAACTAGGTCAACTAGGTTTTTAATATTAACAAGATTTATGATAATTGATAATCATATGTACACATACATATACATTGTATAGGAAGGAAAATTAATTAAAACACTCAATAAGAGAGAAATAAAATAGGAATTGGCAGGGTAATGAAAAAAGAGAAAAATAAAAATAAAATTCAAAGATAATCCGTGACTAAAAACAATTTTAATTCTAAAAATTAACTACAGAATGAAGATGAAATTTTTATATTATAGAAGATATCAATTAAGTTTAAAGATTCCAACAATAATCATTCCTTTTATTTCCTCTTTATTTTAGAATATTGTAAAGTTTTTCACCACTTAACTTTACTAAAAATGCACAGAAAACTTATATTGAGAATACTTTTAATTTTAAAGGATAGAGGATAAAGAGAAATCTTTACCATATGATTAGTTTAAGAAAAAAATGAAATAGAAAAAAAAACAAATAAAACCTTCAATAGCTGGCTTATTCCGTTTTCCCGACACAATAAAAAAAATCAAAATTGAAATTAACATTTAAATAATTGCACTCGATTATTGTAGTGACATCTATCGTCAAAAAAATTCCAAAATTAATAAAACCCAAGATAATCTTTTTAAAGAAAAATACTCTTGTAAATTGTAGATACTCTTAAATTACAAGAAGAAGAGAGAGAAGGCAAATGTCATATTTTTGAAGTCTCAGTTTAAGTCTTGTAACAGTAATATGCCATTCATTCTCGAACCAAATTTTCTTTAAATATCTTTAAATTTTTAAATGCTTTTCATTAAATCATCTATGAATAGCAGTGTTTTGACAGTGAAACGTATGTCAGAGTGTGTAATATTTTTAGGGTGAATTTATCAAAAATATTTTTGATAAATTCACCCTAAAAAAGAAAAAGGATTGAACTTTTATTTTAGTTGTTCGATTTGACGATATTTTTTTCTCTATTTTGCCCGCATATTTTCAAAATATTTTCGACATTTTTAAAACAAAAATAGATCGGGAATATTATATAATAGTTTCGATTCTTTTTATTTCTTTTATTTTATTTTTGATAAAATATTTTTCTTATTTTTAATTTATATATTTTTTTTTTTAATTTCCAGGGGATTTTAACGAAAATTTGAAAAGAAAAGTTGTATGAAGAAAAATTTTCTATATGAATTAAATGTACGTGTAGAATACAAAAATAATTTTAACAATACAAACATATTAAATTCATGTAACATATGTATGTATACAATATATGCATACATATAAATATATAACAAATGCATAATATAGAAAGACAACAAATTTAATATTAGGAACGAGAGAAATGAGAAATAAACGAAATTTTTCTACTATCAGAAATAGTAACAATAAGTGTAACAACAGTAATAATAACGGTAATAAAAACAAACTGCTGGCAGCAACAAATACTTTAAAAGTAAACGAATTAATTACAACACAAAAAATTAATATAAGAAAAAATTATAGAAAAATGTATTCAATAAAAAATCACCAAAATAATTTTATAAATAGGCAACAACAAAATTTCTTCTGGTTTCCTAATTTAATAGCAATAACATTAGTATTATTGTCTATGGAAATTGTTAATGTTACAGGACAATGTCCATGGCAGCGTGATGTACCAGATTTACAGACATCATGTATATGTGCTTATAATTTAGGACATGAATTATCGGCACAATGTGATCAAGTAAGTAAAATAAAAAATAAAAATAAATAAATAGAACAATAATGAAATATAATTATATTTGTTAATATAATTATTTGTTCATGTATTAAGGCATTATAATTGCCAAAATTATTCTATAATATTTCTTGGCATAAACATTAAATATTAACGAATAAATAATTAATAAACGCACACTGTTATACATAATAAGAGATACATATAAAATAATATGTGTGTACCACAAAAAAAAAAACGATTAAATTTAGAAATTTAATAACACGCCAATTGAAAATATGCAACAGTATTTATGCTAGACCATATCCAATATATTGCATTAATTAAAATTTTGAATTAAACTCTTGTTAAATTCATAGTTATTGCTGTATAACAAACCAAATACATACTTGTACATACAATTACTTAAGAATTATTTATTTAATTGTGCCTCTTCATTTCAATATAAATTATTATTAATATCCAATTAGCAGTGATCTGTTATACAATTTGTTATACTCGTGCAATACAATGTTTTCATATTAGAATTGTTATATATCATTAAATTAATTTTATGCCAACATTTTGATTAATGAGTTTTAGAACTTCTCAAACCATAAAATTTCTTATTCGCTATAAATTCGAACTTGATCTACAACAAAATACAAATTTTGCGTGAACTATAAATTCAAAACAAATAAACAAATAAAATATGTATTAAAAAATTTTATTAAACTATTTTTATTTTCTTTTTTTAGGTTGATTTTCCATTATTAATAAATGCCTTAAATAAATATGCAACAAATAAATCAATTGATTTACTGTATATTAATAATTCAACAATAGATGTATTAGAAAATGATATGTTTAAAAATCTTCGATTACACAATGTTCAATTGAGTAGTTGTAAGATACGAAAAATCGATGATGGTGCATTTAGAGGACAAGAGAACGATTTAAAAAATTTAAATTTACAAGATAATCAATTAGAGGAAGTACCAAGTAGAGCATTACGTTTATTAACAATATTAAATTTATTAGATATATCAAAAAATAAAATTCAATATATACCAGATGGAGCATTTCAAGGATTAACAAAATTATCAACATTAAAATTAAATGATAATAATGTAACATTATCAGTTGGTGCCTTTAAAGGATTAGAACGTACATTAAAAAATTTAAATTTAAAAGGTACAAGACAAAAACGTGTACCCGAATCAATAAGAGGTTTAAAAAATTTAGCATTCTTAGATTTATCACAAAATGGTATTAAAGATTTACCAGGTTTAGGTGGTATTAAAACATTTGAAGGTTTAGATTCATTAACAGCATTAAATTTAGAACGTAATTTAATACAAAGTTTAGGTGAAACATCATTTTTTGGTATAAGAAAAACTCTTAGTTCATTGAGTTTATTGAATAATTTATTAGCTGAATTTCCGGTTGGTGCAATACATTCATTAAGAGAATTAAGAGTATTAGATATTGGTTTCAATTTATTAACAACATTACCAGAAGTTGCATTTCGTGGTAATCCAAGTATAACACTATTAGCATTAGATGGTAATCCATTACCAACAGTACCAGAAAAAGCTTTAAGTCATTTAAATCAAACCTTAAGAGGGCTTTCATTAGGTGGACGATTTTTACATTGTGATTGTAAATTAAGATGGGTAGCCGAATGGATTCGTAATGGTGATTTACAGGTAATAAAATATATTTAAATAAATTAATTAAAAATAATTGAATAATATTTAATTCAATTTCGTTATTAACTAGGTAACATCACGTGAACGAAATCCACAATTTTGTGGTTCACCAAATCGTTTTAGAGATCGTGGATTTTATTCGATTCAACCAGAAGAGCTAACATGTCCCGAAGAAGTTAAATTAAATGGCCCAGTTGGAATCATAGATTCATTACAACCAAAAGCAAAACCGACTCTTCCAACGCACATTACATCATTTAGAACAACATCGCGACCAAGAAATACCACAACTGTCAGTTTAGAAAATATTTCTACTAGTTCGACTACTGAACCATCATCAATTTCATCTTCATCGTCATCCTCTGGTACAACAACTGAGTCAACAACTGGTTCTACAACTACAACATCAGTTACAACTCAATCCAGTACAACAACACTAAAAACAACACCGGCCACAACAAAAGTAACCACAAGCAAAGCAATAACTTCACTTACGGTATGAATTTTTTTTTTAAAAAAAACTTTAATACATTATTTTAAGCTATTGGTTTTTATTTCTCATTTAAGACTAAATCGCCAAATCAAAATCAATTGGGTCAAGGTAGTGTTGGTGCTGCATCATCTTCATCTTCTGTTTCATCATCAGTATCAAGTGGCTCTTCGTCGCCAGTAAATGGCAATAGCAATGGAAATAACGGACCCCAAATTGTGAAAAATCAAGTATGGCGTCAAAATACTTCACAACAAAAAATCCAACGTCCACCATTAGTATTAGGTTTTCCACCACAACGTGGTACGCGTATCGATGATGCTAATGAAGTACAAGTTAAAAATGCATTCCGCATGGATAATTCGGTTATAATTCAATGGGATTCCGATACAGCAAATATATTAGGATTTCGTGTTGTATATCGTTTATTTGGTGAAAAAAGCTTTAAACAAGGCCCACCACTTGAAGCAAGTGAACGTGAATTTAAAATAAAAAATGTTCCATCACAAGAATGTATTATTGTGTGCGTTATATCATTAGAAGAATTACATGTTACACCAGACACAGTACCATATTCACAATGTAAAGAAGTTCGTACTGTTGCATCACAAACATCAAATATGGATAAAATTACAATAGCTGCAAGTGCTGCTATTTGTGGTACAATTATTGTTGCTGTTATAGTTTTTATTGCCGCTAGCAGGTAAATTATAAAATTTAATTATATAATTTCATGTATATTAATTATAAATTTCTCATTTAATTTGAATTTTTTGACAAAAAAAAAAATATAACATATGCAACATAGAAGACGATCACGTAAAATGCAATCATTAAGTTCTCAACAAAAAAGTCCATTACCAATGGGTGGATTACCAGTTAATTGTTGTGGTCCAACAGGAAGTCCCGGGCCATTAGGATCAATAGCAACTTTATCTGCATTTAATACTCATAAGGTGATTTCTAAAATAATAAAAACCCCAGACACTTAATACACCATTAGCAATGTTTGTTCTATCCCTATACGAATTCAATATTAAACACGTACAGGGACTTAAAGTTCTAGTAAACATTTTTATTCTTAATTATTACTTTAATAGGGAAAATCATAAAGTAATTTTTTAATTACCATTCTAATTTGAAATGCACCACCAAAAAAATCAAAAACTATAATGTAATATAAAAATATTCTGATTTGAAATAAAAGGCCATTTGTAATTAAAAAAAATTCAGAGGTCATATATAAACAGGACATTGGACTTTTGTAACCTTAAAATTAAAATTTATTAAAAACAAAATTTTTTTTTCTGAAATGTAGGCCTTTTGAAAGAGAAAAACAATTTCAAAGAAAAAAAAAATGTCCGGAAAAGAAAAAATTTCCATTTTAAAGGTTTTTATAAAAATCTCCCACACATTCGTTTGTGTGTTTCATTTTGAAACTTAATTAAGTGTAGAATTTCTAAATAGAAAACATTACGTGACATTGTAAATTCTATTTTAAGTTTTGTATATAAAAACAAATATAATTCATAATTACAAGGATATTCTCGGTTTTTCAGTTACGGGTTGAATAAAATATAAAGGATTAAATTATTTTTTTTTATATTAGGCCATTTATACAAACATGTTTAAATTTTTTTGTACTATAATAAATTTTTTGTATGCATTAATTTCCATGGAATCATAAAGGAATGGGATCAAGTATCAGCATACAGCGGCCGTTCAATACCAAGACCAAGAATATATCCAGTTGATAATCAAGAAGATTTAAGAAGTCATTTTTCAGCTATGGGAAAAACTAGTAAACCAAGGTAAGATTAATAGAATGAATTGAAAGAACAAAGTCTGGGGAAAAAAAATACTTTGAAAATAAAAACAAAATTATAGAGTCGAAATTAAGTCAAAAATTATCACGAAACCACAAAGCGCACTTATTCACCGAAGAACAAGAAAAAAAAAAAACAAAATTTTATCAAAATTTTTTAAATACCCTTGCTATACAAACAAAATTCTAAAGAACTTTCGTCGATACTTAAAACGCACATCCATTTTGGTTTTATTTTGTTTTATCAATGTCATTTAAAATTAATAGCAACAATTAATCTAATATATAACAAACTAAAAACAAATTAATTAAATAAAAAACAAAACAACAAACAAATAATTTTTACTCTAAAAATTCAAAATTTTAACTAACAAACAATCAAAAGATTACATTCACACACTTACCAACCATAAAAACAAGAAAAATAAAAAAAATTGCTTTGGTTTTAAAAATAATTTCGCACTTGTTGGGTTTTTTTTTGTTATTTTTAAATCGTGGTACTAAAATATAATCAGAAAATATTGATAATATTGAATAATAATCAAAATTTCCGAATCAAAGTTGAATCTCGAAAATTCATTTTGGCCAATATTGAATTTTTTTTTTAAAACATACATACATTATACATAAATATCAAAAAAAAAAAAAAAATCATCATTAAATCATACACAGATCAATAGCTGATGGTCAATCTCAGCATAGTTTTTCAAATAATTCCCATCGTGGATATTTAGGTTCAGCATTTCCATCTAATTTAGTTAATTCAAGACCAGAATTACGTCAATCTAGACAATCATTAGCTGCTGCTTCAGAACGTATGTCGCGTGCATCATATGCCGGTTCAATACATGGTGGTGGTCCACAAAGTATTGCTTCAAGTACACGTCGTTCTAGACCGAGATCTAGATCACGTGATCATTTAAATGGACCACATATACATAGTCATCGTCCAGGAAGTAGGTAAGTATCAAATTGAATCAAAGAAAAAAAAAGAATCAAATTGCAATAATAACCTTAAATCGTAAAACAAATATACCAAATATATTGTGTAAAATCATGTAAAAAAAAAAAATTAATAATAATCATTAAGTAATTACAATAATTTCTCATTTCAATAATTTCTCGAACAAAAGAAAATTCTTTAAATAAAAAAAAAAAAAACAAAAAATCTTTAATTGATTTAAAAAAAAAAATTGGAATTCACCATATTATAAGAAATTAGAAAAAAAAAAATTCTCACGCAAATTTCTACTAGTCGTTTGAATCTTATATGAAAAAAAAAATTTTTCACCTTAGATGCACATTATAACTGCACAACTCTTATACATATTTTTAACGCTCCACTAAAACAAACACGTAATTCTTTTCCTTCTTAAAAAATAAACTAAAAATATAACAAAAATCTTGGCTATAGAAACTGTTATTTTGCACGCAATGGCTTTTTTTTTTCATTCTCCTTCTCTCTGCTTCGCTCTCTATCCTTATACACATTTCTGTTCTAATATAAAAGGAAAGCTTGTTAACGACGCAATTAAAGTAATGATAACTTTTGTTTCTCTTTAACCTGTTTAATGCTACTTTTGAATTTATGACTCAAGCATAATCAAGCAATTCATTTTATAATTATTATGAAATAATAAAAATCTTTGGTAAAAACTAAAATAATTTTTTAAATGTACAATTTTTATATACTCTAAATTCAATATATTATCAAATTATGCTTATAAATTCATTAATGTATTTTAAAAACGTCATTTGACATACGAGGTGTCACTCGGATCTCAAGATATTGCATTATTTCGATTAATACAATACACCATACGATATTTCTGAAAAATGTTGAATTGAAACACGTATCGCTTCTCACAAACTGTCCGAAAGATTGCAAAAAGAAATTGTTATAGCTGGAAGAAACTTTGGATTTTGATCCGCGGCACATACATAGAAATTTGTGCACGTAGAAATATAAAAAAGCAAAACCTGCAAGATACGCTTAAATATATTATGCTAATCTTGTAGACTAACACTTATTAAATTGCTTCGTTAAAATTTTGAATTTGTTTAAGCTACATTTTATTTTTTTTACTTTTTTTTTTATAATTTTTTATAATTTTTTTTATAATTTGCTAGAATTAATTTATTATGTATTATTATTAAAACAAAACTTAAGCTAAACTGACGAATTTTATTTTAAAAACTCTCTCTTAAAACAAAACGTATCGCTTTACTTGAATCTCCGAATTAATCCTAAAACTCTATAATTTGTAAATAAACAAAACTTTCATACTATAGTTCATATTTTAATTTTCATAAATAATTGTAGAAACTTTAATGAAAATAGTATGGGTATTTAGAATGTAATTGATAACTGTAAAGTATGTATTAACTAACACATTTAAAGCAATAAAAAAGGTAATGCAAACAACTGTGTTGAAACAGTAGCAGTAAAAATGAGGAAAATCCACAAATATTTTTAAAATTTCAATTACTATGCAAAAATCATTCTTTTTAAATATGAAAATAATTTTTCTTTTCTCTTTTCTTTCAATTTTTTTTTTATTTTTAAAACAGGTATTCAACAGCTGGATCTACTCATACATTAAATAATTATTGTGACACATCTGATAATTGGACTGATCATGACATGGATATATATATGGCGAGAAATCCAACAACACGCAACGGACTTGTGCCATTATGAGGACAACTTATATTATCATGATATTTTGATATGAAATTAAATTTAGATGAGATTTTCTGACAATATGTTAAAGGTGACCGCCGTAATTGTTGCACTAATAATAATAATAATAGTAATGCAATAATTACTGCCGCTACCATTTCTAATCGTAACATTTCTAATAATAATAATAATAATAATAGTAATAGTAATAATCATTTTCAATTCGAACAACATCAACAACACCAATCACAGCGACGACGATATTATAGTAATAGTTTTAGTAGTAGTAGTTGTAGTAATAGCAATAATAATAACAATAATCATCAAAATAATAAAAGTAATAATTATAGAGAAAATAATCAATTTGATCATATCAGACGTGGTTCATTACCATTCATTTTAGAAAGATCATTAATGTTACCAAATCAATCAAATCATCAATATATATCATCATCAAATATATCAACATTAAATCCACCACCACCAGATATAATTATTAGTAATCAAATAAATCGAAATACAACCACTTTAAATGATAATAATAATTTCAATTTAAATATTTTATCAAACAATAATAATTGTTCTATTATTAATCGAAATCGTTTCAAAATACAACAAAATGGTAATATAAATGGTAATGAAACATATCATAAATCAATAAAATATTTTAATTATGATAATAATAATAGTTGTCGTGCTAGTAGTTCTAATAATATTTATAATATAAATAATAATAATAATGATAATGATAATAATAATTATTTTAGTAATAGTAATAATTTAAATTCATTGAAAATTATTTCAGAAAATCTCAATTTAAATGATAATAATAAAAATATTGAAAATATAGAATTAATAAATAAAAATATTAATGATAATAATAATAGAATTATTAGATCACCTAATGATTATCAACAATCTAATGATAATAATGATAATAATAATTGTAATTTAATTAAAAATAATGATAACATTAACAATGACAATTCTAGTGGTAATAATATAAATCAAGATAGCAATAATATTAATTGTAATATTGATGATAGTAATATAAGTATAAATTCAATAGCTTATGATAAATTAAATGAAAATTTAAACAAAACAGATGATGAAAATTCAATAAACGAAATCAACGACAGTTACATTTAAATGCAAAAAAAAGAAAAAAAAAAAAGAATTAATTATATACACCATTACTAATTTAAATAACATATACAAACAAAAATTAATAAGGAAGAATTGAAAGACAAAATTAAATACAATTAAAAAATTAATTTCAATATAGTTCTCAAAATGCTATTCAAAAAGTCAAAATATTAAAATAAATTTTGAAACACTATGAATAATTTATTAGGTGCAATTTTTTAATATTATTAAAATTCTATATCGAAAATTTAATAATAAATAATGAGAGTAATAAAAATTTTAATTAAAAGATGAAAATTAAATATTTAAAATAATAATAAAAATTTAATAAGAAAAAGTAATTTTTATTTTTGCAATTGATTTTTTCTTAATTATTTAAATAAAATTTCAAATAAAATAATGATATTTTTTCAAATCACATTCCAATTACTAGTTGAATTAGCGAAATTATAATATTAAAAATGTCTATCTAAATAATGAATTTCTTTTTTTTTGTGTCCTATGCTCTTTACCTTCCCCTATTTTATTAAATCAATATTTAAATAAAATCCCATATTAGCTAAATTCATACAAATTTCTTTTCTAAAACAGAAGAAACAACATTATTAAAATTAATTTTTATTGAATTATTAAAATTCAATAAAAAAAAACAATTAAAATGAATTTCTACCCTGAAGTTAATTAGCATTATCACGAATTCCGTTCGTAACCGTGAAATTCAAAAAATTACGAATGTCATATTGTCAATTCCGAAAATTTACGAAATAATCGTACGGAACAAGTAACTTAAACAGAACGTTCATTGTAAAGTTTTGAGTTTTGATTTTTTTTTTTTTTGAGTTTGACTTCCTCTAATACAGCTATCGTGATGGGAAACAGTTCATTATAATTGTGTTCATTATATTTTTCGATAAATGGTGTTTACATTGTTGATTAATAAACTCTTCGAATAGAATTTGTGATCATTCTACTTCATAACTAAGTTCGTAATTTGTAGGATGCTACGAGTGTAATTAATGATAGAACTGAATATTTTAAAAACTATTAAAATAAAAAATTTCGCATTTTTTGTTAAAACGAGCTCCCAGTTATTTAATTAAACATCATTATTTTTATAAAAAAAAAAATCTATAATTGATTTTAATACTCCAATAGAGGGCATTCAAAAATTATCCAAAATCTTTACAAATCCCTATATTTTTCTACATATTACAAAATATTATTAAAATTTTTATTTGAAAAAATAAAAAACAAATTATAGGTGCTTATTTTTAATTAAATTAAAAATTATAAAAAAAATAAAAATGAGAAATATTTGAGATAATATTGTGAAAATTCTGATATTATTTCAATTCCATTTCAAATATTTCATTAAAAAATATAATAAAAAAAAAAAAAGAAAAAAAAATTCCAAAAAAAATGATAAATAATAAAATTAAATATGTTTGTAAATTTTTTTAAGTGCTAATAAAATTTAACAATATTAATTAAATATTTTATTTTAAGAGATTTGAACAAACAGCAAAAAAAAATATGGAAATTATTGTAAAATAAAAATTAAAAATAAAAAAAATTGGAGCAAATATTTTTTATACATAAATATATTTACATAAATTTTAGCAAAAATACAAAAACAAAAAAAAATTAATTAAATTATTAAATGAAAAAATTGAAGAAAAAAAAATTTATTGTAATAAAATATTAATTTTTTTTTTTTCAATTTTCTTTCATTTTGTTCGGAAAAAGAATTTTAGTTTTTCCTCATTTCTTTTGTTTTAATTTTACTTTTTAAATTTTTCTTATTTCCTTTAAAAATATTATTATAAATTAAAAAAAAAACATTTTATATAAATATAAAAATTAAAATAATGTTAGAAATATTTTATAGTTTAATAATATATAATTAAATAAAATAAAAATTTTGTATTTACAATTTAATTTTTGTATTATTTTTGTTTTTCTTTAAATATATTTTTATTTATTATCTATTTTCCTGTTTCAAATTTTGTGAAATTCGGGTTACCAAACAAATAAATTAAATATTCAAAATTTTATTTTTGAAATATTACAGAAAATTTTTCAAATAATCAGCAGAAATAATAAACACAATATAAGAAAATCTGGAGTATAATATCAATACTGCATTACTGTATAATTTTGGAATCACGGCAACAATATGTTCTAACTCCCGAATGAAATTTTTGCGGACCAATGTGATTTTGCTGAACTCTTAACGATACTGGTATTTTAGCAGAAAAATATCGAATTTAATTTTAATTTCAATTAAACTTATTAATTATAGTTTATTAGAAAAAAGTTTACGTATATCAAAATTTTTAGGAATATATAAATTTCGGTGCATTATTTTTTTTTAATTTTTTTTTTTAATTTTAGGGTAAAATTTTCCCCATATGGAAATAAATGGATATAAAAATATTGTGATAGTTTAAAAGTTAATCCAGTGTTTATATACATATGCATTTTTAAAATCAAATTGGATACAATTCGAACCAGGAAGAAATTATTAAAAGTTTGCAAGAATATTTTTTTTTTGCTTTATTGCAAAAAATCACATAAACTATTATTTGAAAAAAAAAATCTTGTCGCTGAAATAAGAACAGTATAAAATAATTATAATATTACAAAATCTAAAATAATCCTAACATAATTCTTTATTAGCAAATATAATTTTGTATATATATAATGGATGATTAATTAGATTGAACTCAAGTTATATTTTATTGTTATTCATATATACACAAATATACCCCTGCCCAACAATATGCTTAACCATCTCCCATCTAATAATAGACTTAATACGAAATTATATTTTGAATTTTGAACATTTTGTTACTATGTTGTAGAAACCAATTAACAATTAAATTAATATTATACCTAAATTATATTATATGCATTAAATATTTAACTATGTACAAAAATTCAAAATATTTCCTAATAAAAATTTTTATTTTATTTTCATTTAAAACAGACCAAATTTATATAATAATTGTGACAGTAACTTTCATTGTACAATTATAATTGCAATTATATAAAGCAATCATAAATTATATTGTTCACATCCGATACATGTGCGTATATTAAAAAAAATTTTATATTTTGTGCATTAAAATATAATGGGGAAAAAAAAAATATTAATCCCTGCCTTATTATTAATAAATTATAATAAATTTATTATACTTATAATTGCATTATTTAAATTTCATTAATTATACATTTTATAATTAGATAGAATAATTTACAATAACGAAAAAAAATAATTAAAACTACTATTTTCCGTTTAAGGGAAAAAAAATAATTGCACAAATAATAATGCATATAATGAATATTTTTAACCTTAAAATCATAAAATAAATAAAATTCTACGCTCTAATTGAATTTTATCTCTATAATTTAAAACACATAAAATTTGATTTTAAATTATAATTTTGATATATCAGCCTTAAAAGTTGTATAACTTAAAATATTTAACATAATTTAAGATTAAAGTTTGGTAATTAATTTGAAAATAAAAAAAAAAATAAGAGGACGTAAAAGCATTGGGAAAATATGAATTCTAGCAATAATAGTTATTTAACTCATAGTAAATTTATCTGAATTTCACTGTATAACAAATATATCACTGTTTTAATTATATGGTATTATATCTACTCTCATTAAGTATTATGAAAAATAACAAATAAATGTTTACTAATTACAAAATTTATAAGAAAAAAAAAAAACAATTAAATTATAATTTAAATTTATTGCCTATTTAATTTTATGAATTATTTCTATTTTGCTCATTATATTGAAATAAAGATTTAGTTCAAATAGAGATTTAGTTTAATATTTTTTTAAAAAAATTTAATTGAAAATTAAATTTG